TAAAATAATAAGGTATTTTAGTATAATGACAAATGGAATCTGTCAGAGATGTATTAATCTTTTGAAAATGAGAAGTTTACATTGTGAGTTATTCCTTTCTTGTTTTGACACGGAAGTCAAAAGAAATCAGCCAAGGTATCAGGACGGTGTTTTCTCATACTGCGCATGTAAACATCTGGTTTCAACTGCATGATTTTAGTGTTTTATTAATGAAATACATCAAGATGAGTTTTCAGTGTGAAAAAATGTTTAAATGGATAATATAATTTAAAATACCTGTGGTACTCTAAACCTTAGACTTCTCCTCTAAAGGTGTTACTTGCTGCTCAAGTAAAGCTGATTTTGGTGTTTGTCATTTGCACAGATGCTGTGTTCCTAATTCTCTATAAGGAGCTCTATTACAGACATATCTACGCTAAAGTCAGCGTGAGTAACGGCGCGATGTTAACGTCTGGTCGGGTTCTGGAGCTGCAAACATTGTGTCAGAACCGTCGTCTCTCTGTGTGTGATTAGGGTGGACCCACTTTGGAGCAGAGGTTCGAGTCGTACTACAACTACTGCAACCTCTTCAACTACATCCTCAGTGAGTGCAACCGTCCTGGTGCTGTAGCTTTACCTGTAGATGCATCAGTTATATGACGACATGTGGCTGTGAACAGATGCAGATGGCCCCGCCCCTCTGGAGCTGCCAAACCAGTGGCTGTGGGACATCATCGATGAGTTCATCTACCAGGTGTGCATCACATTATGAACTTCAGTCATGGAATAAAGTGAGAAAATTATATAGTTTGTGTTTTATTTAGGGATCCACTTTTTTCTCTTCCGATGCGATATCTGAGGTTTATTTTTGGCCAGTACCGATCCGGTACAGAAAAACAGCTGAACTGACTTAAAATGTTTTGTTTTTTTAACACAGACATAAATGTACTGAGTTACACATTTATTTGATAACTCTGAACCAGTAAAGTTCACTTAGATACACCAACAACTCTACTGTGACGGTAACAAATTTTCTGGACAATAAATTGTTCCAGTAATTATTGGAATAAACTATAATATTGTTTTGAGAGCAGTTTCAACTAATTTAGTGTGATTGGCATAATAATGCAAGAATACACGCTCAAAGATCAATAAACGTTAAATTCTAATGAACATTTAACACTGGAACTAGAAGATATTCTAAATAGCTAAAATAAATAAAATGATTTATAAAGTCACTCAACTGTCCTTCAAAAAAAAAAAAAGAGCCAGCTAAACCCAAAGCACCAGACTGAAGACTTGTCATCCAGTTTTTGGTAGAACAGAAGAAAAATGATAAATAATGCAAAAGGAAATTGAGTTCATTTTAATTTATCATACAATTAATTGATTTATTACTTTTTTGTGAAAGGCCTACAATAAACCTTCTTTCAAATGGTTCAGAAAGTGTAATTAGGAATTCTAAATATAATGTGAGATAAATAATAAAACATGATATCTCTCAGAGTGTAAAGCATAGAACTAGACAGAATAGATGTGCCCTTATGGATCGGGACTGATCCAGATATTAACATCGGATCCGTTCATGTCTAGTTTTATGGAAACAGGAACTAAAATGCTGAACCTGCTCCGTTTCCTCCACAGTTCCAGTCCTTCAGTCAGTACCGCTGCAAAACAGCCAAGAAGTCCGAGGAGGAAATCGAGTTTCTGAGGAACAACCCAAAGATCTGGAACGTCCACAGCGTCCTCAACGTCCTCCACTCCCTGGTGGACAAGAGCAACATCAACCGGCAGCTGGAGGTCTACACCAGCGGAGGTAAGCTCATGTTCTGGTCTGACATTTAGCCGTAACGTTTGGAGTAAAGGTAACATAGACGACTGTCACCCATTGGTCGGCTGCAGGAGACCCAGAGAGTGTTGCTGGGGAATATGGCCGCCACTCCCTGTACAAGATGCTGGGCTACTTCAGCCTGGTGGGCCTGCTGCGGCTGCACTCCCTGCTGGGCGATTACTACCAGGCCATCAAAGTCCTGGAGAACATCGAGCTCAACAAGAAGGTGAGAGAGAGACTTCCTGATGGAGAGATCTGTTGGTGTTCAGCGGCTTGATCCCACTTCCTGTCTGGCAGAGTATGTACTCCCGCGTGCCGGAGTGCCAGATCACCACCTACTACTACGTAGGATTTGCCTACCTGATGATGCGGCGCTACCAGGACGCCATCCGAGTGTTCGCCAACATCCTGCTCTACATCCAGAGGACGAGGAACATGTTCCAGAGGTCAACCTACAAGTACGAGATGGTCAGTGCAGCTGTGATGGTTTCATTTTACTGATGCAAAGTGATGGGATTGAAACTTTTCATCGTCTGGGATGTTTTTAGATCAATAAGCAAAATGAGCAGATGCACGGCCTCCTGGCCATCGCCCTCACCATGTACCCCATGCGCATCGACGAGAGCATCCACACCCAGCTGAGGGAGAAGTACGGAGACAAGATGCTGCGCATGCAGAAAGGGTGAGAGACGATGTGGGATAACAAACTTTTTACCCTGGGAGACGAAACTGATAAATTCAAACCACCGGCAGGCCACAAAATTCATTAAACTGAAAATACGAATTTGCAATTTTGTAAATTCAGGCAAAATCAATGCATAGCAAAGCATAATCATGAGTTTATTGCAGATTTTCCTCAAAAGTCTTCAAAAACTTTGGGTTTAAGTGAGTAACTCCCACCTGCAGGTGGCAGTATTTCTGACGTTTATTACTGCTGACTGCCGTGATGTCAGCTAAAATCCATGACGGATGAGGCGAGTAACAAATATCGAACTATTTAAGTTCTTTAAAGAATAAAAATGTTTGTGTCCAATCTGTCTGCTTTATTCTTTCTTCTACATGTAAAGTTTGAAGGAGATTTAATGAGGAAAAAATATTATAAAAATTGTGAAATCTCAAGACACTGAATATGAAATGGTGACTAGCTGCTAATTGCTCCAGCTAGTTGTAGAAGTCAGTCTGTAATTTTCACACAAACGTGGCTTAGTCTCCGCTCCTCCTGATCATTATTATTAACCGTTACTGCTTTGCTTTCTGTCAGTTCTTCATGGACTTTCTGTTCTCATTTCAGAGACCTGCAGGTGTTTGAGGAGCTGTTCAGCTTTGCCTGTCCTAAGTTCCTGTCGCCTGTGGTGCCAAACTACGACAACGTTCACCCCAACTACCACAAGGAGCCCTTCCAGCAGCAGCTCAAGGTGTTCGCTGAGGAGGTGCAGCAGCAGGCTCAGCTCTCCACCATTCGGAGGTGATGGACGTTTAGCGTCTTTTTTCCAGATCACACAGCAGCTGTTTAACCCTCCTGTCGCCATGCCGACAGCTTCCTGAAGCTGTACACCACCATGCCAGTGGCCAAGCTGGCGGGCTTCCTGGACATGTCGGAGCAGGAGTTCCGCATCCAGCTGCTCGTCTTCAAACACAAGATGAAGAACCTGGTGTGGACCAGCGGCATCTCGGCGCTGGACGGAGAGTTCCAGTCCGCATCCGAGGTCGACTTTTACATCGACAAGGTAAAAGTTCTACTTCCTGTTTCTGTGTACAGAGCTAAGCTACAGATGTCTTCTGTTTGCTCAAGATTTTTAACTCATTAACCAATAAGTTGGACATGCAACTTACACATAATGAAATAAAACAACTCAGATTTTAGTCGAAGAGGAATGTAAAAATAAAAACATTATATTAGGGGCCAGATGTGGCCCCGGGGCCACACTTTGGAACCCCCTGAACTTGAATTAAGTTGAATCAAAACCCAGACTTTGGCTCTGCCACTACAAAACATTTGCTATTCTACTGTTTTTGAGTTGTTCTTTTAAAAGAGGTTTTATTCATATGATTATGGTTCAGTGATAATCAGGTCTGAGTTCGGTTGGAGAAATTAAGCTCAACTTCCTAAATATGTGCTTTCATTATTAAAAAAGTCAATTTTCACCAAAGTAGGTAGTTACCTTTTACCTGATGACCAGGTTAGTTTGAGTTTTTTTCCTTTAATGATTGAAATCCTCAATTGAAAACTGCTTTTTTCTAATTACTCAGGTTGAGTTTATTGGTCTGAAACATTAAGTTGGACAGAAACAGCAGATATGTATGGAGGAAAATATCTGTAATTGAAAGATGGTGACAAATCCCAGCAATTTAAATTAATCTAAACACAAACGTATGTCTTTTTTTATATACGTATATGCAAACAATTTAACTGTAGATGAAAAACGGTTTTATGTTTAACAGGACATGATCCACATTGCCGACACAAAAGTTGCTCGTCGGTACGGAGACTTTTTCATCAGACAGATCCACAAGTTTGAGGAAGTAAGTAGTAGAACTTTAATCTATAAAACTGGACTAGAACATTTTCCAAGTATTTAAAAGGAAACACATTCCCTGTTTCATTTATTTCTCCTTTTGTGTCCTACAGTTAAACAGGACGTTGAAGAAAATGGCCATCACTGGCACCACCACGGCGACAGGAACCGCCACCAGCCGATGAGACCGAGCAGCAGAGAGTCAAATCCTCTGTGGTGTAACTTAGTTTCCTGATGAAAAACTTTTCTATGTTACCTGGAAACAATAAAATGATGGAGTTGTCCAAAACAAGCTGTAAGCTTTTTATGTCTCTGGAGCACATTTACAATTTGGGACCACCAGATGGCAGTATTTCCAAAATGTTGTACCTACTTGTGTTTATTAAAAAAAGTGTTCTACATAATTTTATAAGTATTTTCCTCTGGACAAATTTTGCCTTAGAGGATTCTATCAAAAGGTCCAGCTCAAATTATTTAAAGGTTTAATGTTTTATCCAAATGTTTTAAAAAAATAGCCACCTAAAGCTTATCCAAATGAACAAAGGGCAAATATAATACCGTGTGTATCAAACGTTGCTTTATCACCCGTTATGACTCCAGGTACTGAGTGCTTTGCTCAGGTTTCGTCCTTGTGGTGCATCAGGCGTCACATTATTACAGACACTGGGATCAGAGACCATTTGCATATTTTAATTAGCACAGATCATCCCACAACATTTCCCAACACAGATCTCATGGCTGGTGACAACAATAATAAAAAAAAGAAACAAACTTACAAAACAGGAATATAAAAGTATTTTTCCATTACACACCACTCAACAGAAACATCTGTTATACAAGGGAAACAAATGGACGTGTCACCAAAGCACTATATACTCATACGCCAAACATTCAACATAACTTCCTTAGCGGTTTTGGTAAGACAACATTTTTCTTCAAAAATATCTTTTGAGTCAATGTTTTTTTTTTTTAAATACAAAAATAAAAATAACGCAAAATTTCTCACTTTGAGTTTGACATTGAGTCGCCCACCTCCCCCCACGTGGCAGTGTAAAATCACTGGGCACATTGCCATCTTAACGTCTATAAAAAATTTTATTTGCTTTTATAAATATTTTATTTCCTTTTTGATAAAACCTGTTTTTTTCTCTTCCTCATCCTTTCTAAGGAACTGTCCACCATGTACTTGGAAAGTCTTTTGTTTCTGCGCTGACCATAATCACCTTCCCAAGAGAGTTTTTCAAGTTTTTTGCTCCCATCAGGAGCTTCTTCATCCTCATTCTTCTGTGATTTGAGTAAAATCACTGAAAAGATGATGAAAATTCCTCAGCTATTTCCAAACTATTGAAACATCTATTGCTGTTCCCGTCCACACTACGGTACACTGACTGTAATCATGTTGCCAAAGCAATTCTCTAAAAATCTGCCTGATTATTTAATGTTCTCAGTTTCCCTTTCGAGGCCATCTGCTGGTCTGAGTGTGTGTAGATTGATGTATGTGTGTGTTTTTGTGTGAGTGTCTGCAGTCCAGGCATAAGTTTCAAAAGGATTCATGAGAATGAGGCACCTTTTAGATGAGTTTAAGGTCATGGTTGGAGCAAATGTTCCCCACTCCATCTCGTTCACTCAGCATTTTAATGACTGCGAGGGAAACCTTTTGTCTTGCTGAAGACGGGGGTCCTGCAGGTGGGTTAAAACTCTACAAACTGGAACTGTGACCGTTTTCATCAATGAAAGACCCAGTCAACCCAGCTCAGTGTGAGTGTCCTCCTGCAGGATGTTTCACTGAAGCACTGTCTGAAGAGCTTCCCTAGACTACAAACACTTCCCCTCCAGTCCTTTTCAGGAGGATGGAGGCACAAGGACACACACAAGCCCGGTTGCCCTCAGACCAGCGAGGCCTCGGCTAGTCATAACTCCGTGATCTCCAGGGGACTCTCTGACAGGGTGTCCCCGTCCTTGTGGCGGTGCATCGGGGTGGATTTAGCCGACTCCGTGCGAGCGTTCCTCTCTGAGTACAAGCCACCATCTGCGTTCAGCGCCTCTAGAGAACGTGCCAGAGCCCGCTGGTCGTCCTCTGGCAGGCTGTTGAGATCTGAGGTCAGGAGGGTGCCTGTGCTGCCATGGACCACATGGACCCCTTCAGGCCCCTTCAGCTCCACGGGAAGCTTGTGCTTGAACCGCAGAGTGCCGCGTCCCCCACCCAAGTCCAAATTCTCATCCTCATCGTCGTCCAGATCACTCTGGATTAGCTTTTAGAGACAGATGGAGAAAGAGAGTCAGTAAAATAGCGTGTGGTTAAGCACAAAAGGCTGCCAGGAATACATTTGTAAGATAAAGAAAGTACTCTTCTCTGATTGCCCTTTTCCACTAGTGCCAGCTCAGCACAACTCGACTCTACAAGGGGTTTCCACTAATAACAGCTACATGGTTCAGGACGTTTTTAGTACCTATTTGGACTCTATTTGAACTCTTGAACCAGCTATCTTTAAGGCAACCCCACCAACTAGAACTGTTAATTGTGATGGAAAACCCCCCGAACTGTACGGAGTAATAGAGCCAGGTCTAGCCACCCTGCTATAGGTAGCATTTGTTACACATTCAGCTGGTGCGGTTCAAACAAACAAAACTCTGAGTAACCTGTTCCACCCCTCACCTGCAGAGGGTGCTCTGCATCCAGACTTGAAGAAAGCATGGTACAACTTTCTTCTTCACAAAATGAAAACATGAATGGCAGCATCAGATTTTAGCCTTTGTAGGATTTCTTTTTTGTACTGTAAAAGAACCCTGAGTTATTTCTCCTGTTAACACTGGACTTGCATGTTTGTTTTGGCTGTATTTACCCAGAATGCCCTGTGCTGTAGTCCACTTCCTACTTTTGGAACAATCTCCAGTCTGCTTAGTGTTCACATGTGTAGAGTTTACTTCAACCAAACCCAGAGCTGTGTATGTAGGCAGACCAGAGTTCAGTTATGCATTCACCCCTCCCCAAATGGACCAGACTTCCCAGGCAAACAAACTGAACGGGCTGATCTGAATGCGCCATAAATGTACAAAACCACACAGCAGATTCCACACTGACATTCTCTATTCAACAAAGATGAAGCCAAGAACAGAAATCCGCAGAGAATCACTTTCAGCAACAACAACTCAACAATCTCACTTTTTCCTCCTCATGTTGTTATAAATGAATTTTAGATGAATCATCTTAAACCCGTTGCTTCAGTTCAGAGGTTTGCAGACGTTTCCGTCAGGTGGTTGTTGACCCAGTTTGTGTCTAGCTTTAACCCTGAGAAGATGAAATGTCTTCATCTGCTGTACAATAAAATACAAATGTGATCATCTCAGTGGCTCCCCTGCTCTGGTTGCAAAGCAAGCCCAAATCACCACTCCTCTACCACCGTGTCTGATAGTTGGTATGAGTCGTTTGTGCTGATGTGGCCTGTTTGGTTTGTCCAAAAATGGTGCTGAGCATTGAAGCATGAAATATGTACAGTTCTTTGTTCTCGTCCTCCGTAAAGAACACAGTTACACAAGTCTTGTGGTTCATTCAGATGCAACTTTGCAAACCTAAATCATGCTGCAAGAGAGGATAGGGTTTTTCCCGACAGCCCTCTGAAAGATATCATACCCGTCGATTCTTTTTCTAACTGCGCTAGATCACTCAGTTGGTTTTTTTGCAATTTCTTTGAGCATTGCACTGTCTGCAGAGACATCAACTCCTGGGAAAATCATCAGCTGTCCTAAATGTTCTCCGCATTAGATAGTTTGAAAATTGATGCTTTGTTGATGCCTTTTTGTTGATGGTTGTGTTCATTATGTTTTAGAGAAGCAAACTGTCAAAAACAAATCTTTTTAGTTGTTCAGACTTGCTGATGATCGATTCTTATGTCCTACAGAAAAAGCAAGGGTGTACTTTCCATTTTGGCTTCATCTCTGCATAATTTACAATGACATTGTAGAATCAACTTCTTTTTGTGCCCTCATTTGTAACCAGATGAAGAGTATGTACTTTCTTTTTTCATAAGTGTATACATAGATGAGTTTGAAAATGCAAAAGAATGAATCATTTCATCTGAATAAACGTGATAAGTAGAAATAGACAAGTGTGAAACAGATTCAGAGATGGATCAGAGGATAAGCAGAGTTCCAACAGATCTGGAGCACATCGAAGAGAGCAAATGCACCATCTATCGAGAAGAAGAGGGTTGAAATATAAGTATTTTTTACAAATCTTGTGTTAGAAGTCTTGCAATGACTTAAAAAGAGCCGATTCCAGGCATGAAGCAGAAGTGGTAAAAGTGTGCACCATCAGAGCATGAGAGAGGGAATCAAAAGAACAGCTGATCACTCTGAGTGGCAGTGAAGAAGACCAGCAGCAGATGCAGAGAGCTCAGCGGTTTTTCTTCCAGGCCCACCTCAGTAACTGATGACTTATCTCCTTCTCCTTGGCCGGTGGAAACGGTGACGAGTCGCGCTGCAAAGAGCTTTTTCAGCCTCAGGTAGTCATCCAGAACCACCTTCAGCAGAGAACCCTGACAGGACGGCAGTTAGGATCAGACAAAACTCTGACACAATCCATCCCATAAGCCCGAACGCCAACCCCTGAACCAACAGCCTGCAGTCAGGACATGAGTCTTTGGCTCCACCTCTCAGTGCTTGTTGATTGGAGTTAGGATGAGTACATACATAAGTGTTTCTGCATGTTTACTTCTCTTGATGTGTCTTACCTTGATTGGCCCTTCCCTCATAATCTGACCCAGTTTAGCAATGTTGTCGTACTCCTGGATGGCGGCTCTCAGGTAGTGATCGTCCTCTGGCCTCGCTTGAGGCTCGCGGCCAAAGGTGCCCTGAGAGGAAAACCACACAGTCATCATAGAAATCTGGATTACCAACTATTATTGTACCAATTATTGTTCTATGAAACACTGAAGTTATAGGTCGGAGAATCAATCCATCCTGGAAAAAGAACAATTCAAAGTAATCCATAAATCCCAGACTGTAAGCTGAGCAGTGAAGCCAGATGAATGTTGGTACTGACGTGTGTGCGCGCCGGGCTGTTCCACAGGTCGGTGATCTCACTCAGGTTCTCCGGCAGGTCGTCTTCATGATCAGCCTGAGCAGCAAGCTCCAGGTTACGACAGAACGGGTCCATCCACACGGGATTGGCTCTGCAGGAAGAAACGTGTAACTAACCCCCAAATCAACTTTTTGTTTGCTAATAAACTAAGTAGGTTACTTAGGGTTCTATATTTATACTGTATGCTTCAGTGTGAGTTTTTACATTTTTGTGTAAATTTGATTAAGCCTGCAATATTTTGCCTGAAACTGACTCAGTGCTGCCCCCTTTGGTTGAAGAGTGGCTACTGCAGTTACATTTTTCTATTTATTACAGTGGTACAGTTTAGTACCTTTGTCACTCAGCCCTGTTCGGGTATAAAACAGTTTCAGCCTGACACAGCGCCACCTGGTGGCGAGTCAGAAGTTGGAAATACCATAAAAGTCTCCACCAACATGAAGGAAGATTTGCCTTCTTGTTGCTAGTTGTTTTTTTTGTTGTTTTTTTTCCAACGACAAAATCGCAAGAGAGTCTAAAACTTCAATAAATGTAGCGACAAGATAAATTAGTAACAGTACTTCTGTTAAAATAATATAAAAATCGCAAAACTCTTTTAATAAAGAAAGTATATGCCGCTCAGGACATAGATCTCACCCTTCAAACGAGTACTTGTTAGTGTTTGGCATATCCAGAATATCCATTAGACCTTGGTTTCCTGCATGGGTAAACGAAATAATAGGAAAAGCTGTTATGCATTAGTTCCAAAGTAACGTTTGCCAACAGCTAACACGGCTGTGTGTAAAGCTGCCTCCTCACCTGTTGATCCTGCAACAATAGCTTTAAGCTTCCTCTGGTGTCTGCAGGAGAAACATCAGGAGAAGATAAAAATGTTACTTTGCAGCTCAGACTGACGGATTAAAACATTTGCGCCTTTTAAATCACTCCGCAATCCGCATTGAAAAGAAATCTGCTACAGTGGAAATATCTGCAGGATTCTTACACTCTGCGATAATGCCAGTTCATTGTTACAAACAAAATCCCCGCCAAGCACAGCAGCACGGCCAGGATAATGATCACCAGCTGTGAACGGGAAAGAAAACCAGCAGTGAAAACCTTCCACAGTGTATGAGCTCATGAACGGCAGCTGTGTGCAGACCTGCAGGGTGGAGATGTCGTCAGGCAGTTTGTCACCGACGGCAGGCTGAACGTCCACCACGTTGTACGTCCGGAACAAACTCCTCAGCTGCTCCTTGTTCTCATCGATCATCTGGATGACTCTAGGAACACACAGCACAGCTCATACAGACGCCTTACGATCAGAACCTGAACGATTACAGGACTTAAAGGTGATAAAAAACCTTTCCACATCCAGGATGGTGTTGGTCTGATTGTTGACGACGTGGATCAGCATGTCGGTCTGAGAGTAGCTCACTCTGCCCTTCTTGTCCACATGAAACTACAAAGTAGGACATATTAAATTATCATACACAGTGGCCATTTCTCCACTATTTGCTTTAGAATAAAAACTTCAGTGTATTTTTATTGGAATTTTATCTGATAAACCAACATACATTTTTTTCCCCGAGGAAAAGAAAAGAAAAAAAAAATCAAAGATAGTGTATTTGTGTTCGGTCATGCTGGATGGTGATGCTGTAGACAAGAAGGAAATCCGAAAGCAGTCAGACTCACTACAAATCTGAAGAGGCCTCTAACTGAAGACTGTTGCTGTGTAACCGAATCATGATTGTCATAACATGCTAACATAATATGGATGGCAACATCAGCTGTTAGCAGCTCTGCTAATCCACCTCATTTGCTATTGCTACTCCTCTTTAAATCTCTGCCTGGACAGAGAGACGTTGAAGTAGGGGATTAACAATTCTTCCTTCTCTGCTCTGCATCCATGAAGCTTCTTTTTCAGCTTTGCCTTTATTCAATTTTACTTTACCCTTTTACTTAATAAAGGTTGAGACTATTTAGGAAAATTAATTCTCTCAAATGTTCCAACATTATGGAAAATAAATGTAAACACATGCCACATTTAAAAATTTAAGCCTTCCTTCTGTAGCAGACAAGCAGCGATTTGCTGCTTTCTGTTGGTCTGACACAAGAAATCCCAACAAAATACAGCTTGGTACTTTTTAAGACTGTTTGTTAAAAACAGAGTGAAGATGAGGAAGTCTTGCCTGAATGTCATCCAAGTTGACGATAGCTCCTGTGATGTTGGACAGCAGGCTGATGAAATTGTCCTGGTTCTCGCGGACCCAGTCCGGTATCTCGTTAAAGACGATCTTGACCCGCTGGTCGTCTCGGAGGATGTAGATGTTCACGTTGGTGGTGGCACTGTGGCCAGCGAAGTCACAAGCTAAGATCTCAAGCTGGAAGTAGCCTGGATCGTAAGCTGTGAAGAGGTCGTAAGTTCGGATCATTCCGTCCATCAAACCTGCAGCGACATGGAAAAGGAAGTGAGTCACTTTGTGGGAGTCAAAATCTCACACGAAGATCCAATTATCCTCATTATGTGTTACAACATGTGAGGAATCACACACTGCACATGCTGGAGGAGCTGAACAGATTCCTCAAAAACACAAACATCCTGAAACATCGCTTGTTTTTGTAATATTTTTCTATTCTACAAACACATAATTGCCAAAATTACATGTTTTTTTTTGACACGCAGTCACATATTACAGTGAAGTAGGAGGTTTTACTTCTGTCTGAAATCAGTCAGACCCACATCAGTTAATCTTTCCCTAGAGCATCGAATTAAAGCCGGAGTAATATTATGCAGACATGTAAAGGCCAAAACAAAGTCAAACACTTTGTGGAGCAGGAACAGCAGAGCTCTCCTGCTAACCCAGGACAGTCACTGACCCTTCAGTGTGGGGAACACCAGGGCTAAATTTTAACGTAACTCCAAAGTTTTTCATTTTAACGATGAAAATGAATTAAAGTTCAGTCCAAACAACCCCATCCTTCTGTCAGAAACTAGATCTAATGTCAACTGGCTAAACTGTGATTCCTCACCAATGGTGAAGATGTTGCCCACATCCTCGCTGCCGTTGCTCTGGGTCTGGAAGTAGCGGATTGTAACGATATGGTACTGGACCACGCTGTTGTTCCCGATGTCGTTATCTGTAGCCACCAACCTGATGAGAGCTGAGCCAACTTTAGCATTTGCTGCAACACCTGAAGCAAAAACACAAACCAAATGTTAGTCCAGTTTTATACCAGATGATGATTCACCAGCAGCAGCAGCATCAGTTACCTGCTGTGTATTCTGTCTTAGCGAACCGAGGCGTCTGGTCATTTATGTCCTCGAGTTCGATCCGGACTTCCAGAAGGCTCGGGTCTAGAGCAGGGTCCAGTGCTCTGGCCTGTAGTGACCTCTGACCTTTGGGAGGGGTCCAGCTCCTGTTGCTGGAAGCCTTGATGATGATGGAGTAGGCCGGGATCTCCTCCCGGTCCAGATCCTTCAGAACCCTCAGCTCTCCATCAAGACTCAGGCCAAAGTTTGCATCACTATTTCCTCCTTCAGCAGCACATGAAACAGATTTGTGGTGAAGATGGATGTTTGTAAATGTCTGCATTATTATTTTGCTTTTGAAGTGCGAATGCTTTCATGTGCTCAGACAATATGTTCAGGAAAACCCCTTGAAGGCAGGATGAAATCATCATCGATAAATTAATACTTTTCATCCAAAAACACTAACATTCAGTGGTGGGATGTACTTATTGTACTTAAATACATTTTCTATGTATTTGTACTTTACTTAACCAGATTTAATCAAGGGTACTTTGGACTTTTACTCCACTGTATTTCTATAATGTTACATTCCATGTTACATTCATATCACTTTGCGTTTTTCTTTTTGTTTATTAAAACGTTTACTTGAAAGTGTTTACTGCAGTTAAAATAACAAATAGCTTTTTTGCTTTCTGTTAAATAAAAACTTTAAATGTATAATAATTCCTCCTTCTTATTAGGCTTAATGACATTTAAGTCTGCAGGTCATCCCTGAATTTAAATCAAAGTGTAAATTGTGTCACAAATCCTAAACCCAATAAAAACATGTATTCATGCCTCTGTCTGCAGCATTATTCTTTAAAACGACACAATACCACTGATAAATTAAATAAAATACACATACAGTTAATGATATTCTACATCATTGGATAAGGTAATAAATTCAAGAAGTACTTCTACCAATACTTTTAAGGATTTTTAAAATCAAGTACTTTTACTAGAATACAGTTTTGTTTGTTTATTTGTACTTTTATTTAAGCACAAAGTTTTAATATTTCCTCCACCACTGGAGGACCACCATTGAATGTCTCATACTTGCAATGAAATAGTAGACGATGGCGTTGGAGCCCTCATCGGCGTCCACAGCTCTGGTTACATTTCCCACCACGGTACCAGAGGGAGAGTGTTCTGGTACCGTCAGCTTCTGGTAGGGCAAGCTGCCACGCTGCGGAGAAAACCAGTCATTACAACATGCAAACATCCCAAAACTGCACACATAAATTACAGCTCTACACTACCGGTGGCTTGAGGAAGACCGGTTCATTATCGTCAATATCCAACAGCGCCACCTGCAGAGGCTGGGTGGTCTCATAAGGCACTGGTTGGCCCATGTCACGGGCCACGATGATAAGCTGAGGAGTGATTTGCACACGGTTACTGAGGGCGGCGCAGCGGCCCCGTGTTGACTGCAGGAGTTGCAGGAGAAGGCGGACTCACGCTGAGCAGGGCTTGTTTCTCCCGGTCCAGTTTCACCGTAGTGGTGATGACTCCAGACATGGCGTCAATGTGGAAGTTTTCCCAGTCTCTGTTCCCAGCACCAGTCTGCAGGAAGGCGTAGCGGACCTCTCCGTTCACGCCCGCGTCTGAGTCGGTGGCATGGACCTCATACACAGGCAGGCCTGGAGGCTGCTCCTGCACAAAGCAAGAGTCGAAAAAAGTAATCAAAACTCAGATTTAATACAGTTTGAGATAGTTTTGCAAAACTATTCTTTTCCCCAGGACTTGCAAATTTTAGCCTTGGTCTTTACTTTAACATTTTTTGCAATAAGAAGAAAGAAAATAATAAAAAACTGCTGCAGCATCTTTTGCTAAGAGCAGTAGATCTTCACCTTTTAAAAAATTACATAATCTGTTGTACTATGTATTGCATTACATAAAAGTTTCCAGGCTTGATTTTCCCACTGTTAGCTGGAAGTTCATCAAACGAGACTCACCTGAATTCTTAGTGAGTCACATGAAAACAGAGTAAACATGCTAACATTAGCTTAGCATTAGGGGAGCCGATACCTCAGCAATATGAATAATGGTTCCATTAGCTGGCCTGACAAACACGGGTCTGTTGTCGTTGACGTCTATGACTGTGATGATCAGGTCTGCAGTGCCCCATAGGGGAGGACGCCCCTGGTCCGTAGCTACAACGGTGAAGTTGAAACGCTCAGAAGACTGGAGCAGGCGGCGCGAACGCACCAGTCCGGTGATTGGATCCAGGGAGAACGCATCTAAAAACCCAAAACGACACCATGACTGATGAACACGCTGCACCAAAATGATTCCACAAAAACAATCAATAAAATAACCCACAAACTACAAGGACATTTATAGTTCTAATTTGGCAAAATGTGAAAAAGTTGAATATGAATATTTTGGCAAAGCACTCCAGAAAATGTTTTGGTAAATTCTTACCTAAATGCGGCCCAAGTAGGCTGTAGATTATGGCAGCATTCTCTCCTTCGTCCAGGTCAACTGCGGAGATGGTTATCACAGACGTACCGCTGGGCTCGTTCTCAAACACGCTGGTGTTATACACCCGCATTGTGAAGCGCGGCCGGTAGTCGTTTACATCCAGAACCGTCACCAGAACCTGATGAGTCACAGATAAAGATGATTTAGTCAGTTTTCATGCAATCATGGTAAACATCTGCTAATATGTAGTTGTAATGAGCTCAGCACCAAGTGTTTGCTAATTGATGCTGGCTAGTCTGCAGGAGCTGAGTTGGGCTGTTCTGTGATGTGAAAGCTCCAAGAAGGAGCTGCGTCTAAAAGGTGGTGCTGGGTTCATCCAGATGTTTAGCACAGCTGAATGGTTGCCAGGGGGTCAAAGAATCGTCAAGCATGCATGAAAGAATAAAAGCAACACTCCAGATATGATTTGGATGAAGGAATAACATTAAAACATGATGTGAAGCTCAAAAACATCGGTTTTACATAATACTTCCCATTTAAAGTACCAATCTTCAAAATATTTTCATTATTCTGACATTAAGAATATGAAAATATGAATATTGAAATACTGAAACCAGTAAAGTTTAGTCTAATTTAACATCTAAAAATAATGAAACATGTTTTTTAGACAAACCACAGTTTTGAAAAACTCTAACAATGTTTCGGTTGCTTTGATGCGATAGTAGTTTCTACCTGAACAGCATTCTCTCTTCGGTTGTTAGGGCTCCCTCCTGGGTTGTCTCGAGCCACAGCAGTCAGAGTGTAGTGGTCCTTGGTCTCCCTGTCCAGAGGGGACATAATGTAGATTTCTCCCTTACAAAGAAAGAGGAAAAGGAATGATTAGGAAGGAAGTACTTAAGTGGGAGTGGTGGCGTTATCAGGACGTTATTCTGCCAGAGCATAGAGCTGAAAATGTAGACTGTGCATTGGGACAGTGTGAGCTTCCATTTCTGGACCGGATCATTTTCATCAGCCCGAGAAGAGCAAACACAGCAGAACGGCTCTTAACCGTCAATGCATGCTTATGTTTTGTGCAAGGTTGCCAAAGAGGAACTGTCTGGCTTTTCTGTATGCGGTCAAAAGGTTATTTAAATAACATCTCTTGCAAAACAAAGTGTACATAACCAAAGCCAACAGAAGTAAATGAGAGGATTCCAGCATGAAGAAGTTGTTCTGTAATTTGCTGAACAGTTAGAAAAAGGCTGAATTGCAGCTTGTGAATGACCTTACAGTGGAAGGTTTGATGCCAAACTTGCCCTCTCCGTCCACAAGGCTGTACTCGATGACAGCGAAAAGTCCAGAATCAGCGTCTGTGGCTCTGACACGAACTACGGTGGTGCCCAAGTCCACGTTCTCAAAGACGGGTTCCTTAAAACAAGACAAACATCGTGTGAGAATCAGCTGCATGTCAGCCCATCAGAACAACAACAAACACTTCCTTTATTCAGTTCAGCTCCAAATGTGAACCTCATTCTGTTCAGATTCTTTACAAACAGTGACATACCTAACATATCTCTGTTCATCTGGATGATTATGGCTAAACCAATGGAAACCAAGCATTCAGTTAGATTAGAATATTACAAGATCATGGATTTTTTATCAACTCAATTTTTTTTATACAGAAATGTAGACTTAATGAAAAGTATGAGCATGTGAACTCATGAAGTGGTCTAACCTCATTTAGCAGGAATTCCCCTTTTCTACTCCTCTTTTCCTGCCACCAAACTTCCCTTTATTATGCTCACATATTAAGACTATTTACTGGATTCATTCTTTCATCACCATGATGGATTGTGAGGTTCTTCTCTTGTGCAGGTCTACCTACAGATTTCTGGGTATCTGATTCCACTGTGGTCTCTCATCTCTCTGCTGACAGAAGCTTGTTCTGCTTCCTTCTGCTGACGAGCATAATGAAGATGCTGTGGTGCTCTAAGCTCGGACCTTGGACTTGATTTGGGTTGAAAGTCACCTGTTGGTTCTGGTCCACCGGGTTTTATCACCAGTCACTGTAGAACCTCAAACTGGACGTCTAGCAGCTTGGAGTTTGTGTAAGCCTGCAGTTATCGCTGTTATTAATAAACTTTTCCAGCTGCACTTTTTCCTTCCACTAAACTTTCTATTAGAATGCTTGGACCCAACACAAATTTTTTAAGCAAAGCCTTGGATTGATGAAGTAAATGAACTTTTTGATGGCATTCTAAGTCATTGAACTGAACTTGTTCATTATTAATAGTAGTAATGATTAGTCATGTCTCTGTAGAGGGACAGTATTAGTATTGTGTTTTCCAGGCAGATAGTACCATTTTATATAAGTAAAGTAACTATGTTACCTTCAGTTGTTATAAAAATCTTATATATGTTAAATATGAAAATTGACTTTGTAATTTAAATTGGGTCTCTGTCTCTTTAAAAACTCCTGCTCTTTCTGAAACTCCACCTTAAGGAAGTTATAACATCACTCCCCCATTAACCCTTTTAACAACGTTTTTACCAGCGTTTCACTGAAAAATGCACAGTTCCACCAGGTCTTTGCCAATTGCTACTTGCTAGTCTGAAGGAGCTGAGTGGGAAAGTCACGTGGAATAACATTATAACATGATATAAAGCTTGAAAAAGTTGATTTTATGTTTTTCTGTTCACTAACTTTCTCTAGTTTATGGGAACCATTTTAAAAGCAGCAGCCCTACAGATCTAAGCAGTCCTGTACCTGATAGGACGGCTGCAGAAACACTGGGTTGTTGTCGTTGACGTCAACTATCCGTAAAAAAACCGGAAGCTCGGCGCTCCTCGGAGGCGTCCCGTGATCCTGAGCCTGAATGGTGAAATTCAGCCACTGCACTTGCTCAAAATCCACCGTCCGATTGGCCACAATCTTCCCTAAAAAAGCAGCAGCAGCAGTTCTACAGTAAATTTCTATGCTGCATTTGTTCTGCAAAGCTTATGGGTGATCTTACCGGTGGAAGAGTCCTCCAGTCTGACATAGCCCCCTCTTGGCAGGTGCAGCAGCTGATAAATGACCTGACCGTTTGGACCTTTATCGGGGTCAACAGCGGACACCGACAGCAGCGTCGTGCCCGGCTGAGCTCCTTCTAAAATCTGCTCTGTGAAGTTGGTGACTCCGAAGGGCCGGAAGCGAGGCGCGTTGTCGTTGACGTCCAGGATGTTGATGGTTAGTCTCGCTGAAAGGAAAAGAAATAAGCAAAGAAAAAAAACTTTTACTGCAAGAGAAACTTGTACTGAAATATTTAGAAAAATCCTTGATTCACTCTGGCAAAACTCTTCTAAATAAATTTAAACAAACCATTTTAATGTTGATCAAAGTCTTATACAACTTTGAATTTGTAATCTATGATTTAATTTCACTACAGCTTGAATAAGACATGACTCAGAAACCCATATGTCTTACCATCTCTATTCCAAATGGGAAAGACAAGTAAATCTGGCAAACAGAGCAATAACGGACATTAATAATTTTACATTTTGCCTTTTAATTTTACGGTGATCAAATAAGACCAATAGCAGGGTAGTATTGAGAAGTGAAGGTCATGGCAGGGTGGCATGAAGAAGCAGCTAGAACTGTGACCAACAACTTCTGGATGAATTCCCAGGTTCAGCTGGCCACCGTCAGAGGAAGCAAAGTGTGGTTGGGTTCACCAAATCTCCATGACTTGGTGATTATCTGGATGGTAGCTGGTTGTGTGTGAGGCACAGCAGGCAAAAGGCGTTTCTGTCCTTCCGAGACAAACGTAAAAATGTGGAAATTGCTAAAATCTTTGTGGACTTTAACTTGAATCACAGTAAGATGGAGTTTTTTCCTCTTCATGACAAATTTTTTGACTGATGTGACTTATATTCCAGAGAGACGTCAATACGTCAGTATGGGGGATGAATCAGAATCAGGATCTGAAGGTAAACACAACCTGGACTTACCGTTAGGAACACTGCCGGACTTGTCAATAACCTCACTGGCGTTGTCATGGACAGACACAATTATCTCAAACGTGGCTACCAGCTCTCTGTTCAGCGGGTTACGAACAAATACTGCACCTAGAAATTCCCAAAAACATGTCGGCAGTTTCAAAACATCTAAATAAAAGGGTAAAAAAAAAACAACAACGTTGTTTAAATGACAAATGTTTCAGAAAACCAAAGTCAACCTGTGTGTAAATCAATGCCGAAGGAGTTCTGCAAGCCAACCACTGGATTGTTCCCATCATCCTTTGCCTCCACTGAGATGATGTAGTACTCTAGCCTTGGATTGAGATCTGGGTCTTCAGCGGTGAGGGTAGCTACCACCACACCTGGTGGGGTCGACTCGTTGACGTTTATCATGGTTATAGGTTCTATAAAACGTGGTCTGAAGTCATTAACGTCGTCCAGGATAACTGTCAGCGTGGCTGTACCGGACAAAGGGGGCGCGCCGCGATCAGTTGCCATCACAACGAGGCGGTACGACCCACGCTCCTCTCTGTCAAGTGTGGTGTTACCCACCAGGACGGCACCAGAAATCGGGTCGACCACAAAGCGGTCCTGAGCACCGCTCTCTAAACGGTACATCAACCAACCGTTGGCGCCAGAGTCCGCATCGGTGGCGGAGAGCTGAGTCACCACAACGCCTGGAGGTGACAAAGACAGGTAAGAAAGTGGGAAGACATCTACAGTTCCATCAAATAAACCTCAACAACAACCAGTGAGGCGGTAATGTTTTCAGACACGAGTTAAACCTGACAAACATCTCATGTGAGACCAGGTCCGTCTCAGACGTGTCATACGCACCAGTGGGGCTGTTCTCAGGCAGTCGGACGCTGAAGCTAGACGGGCTGAAAACAGGAGGGTTGTCGTTCTGGTCCAGGATCGTGACGGTGAGAGGGACGCTGTTGTTTAACCCTCCTATGTCTTCCCCAACCAGAATCAGCTCTACCCGAGGGTCCTGGAAGGCTTCACGATCCAACTTTGCTCCCTGATGCACCAGTAGGACCCCTGAGGAGAGATCCAGAGACATTAGCTTTACTATTTCAGCATGGCTTCATGCTAACTGTCTCCAGAGAAATGAGGTTACCAGTGTTGGAGTCAACAATGAAGAGGTCGACCCTTGGCCCCAACAGTCGGTATTTCACCACAGCATTTGGGCCGATGTCTCTGTCTTCAGCCAGAACAGGCCCATTTAAAACAGTCACTGTGCTGCCTGAAGAACATGTGAAGAAAGATGGATTTCATGAACAGTTTGGAAATTCAGAAAACATTAGGAAAACATCTGTGATTTCTGTGTTTCGTGCCTCTGGTAAGGCAGAGACCCATCAGTGGATGGGAGCTTTCGCAACATCAGAACTTATTTGGCAAATGTGTCTCTATCTCCCTGTCACGCATTCACTCTTTTTCAGAAAAGCCAAAAACAAGCATAAAAACTTTTGACAAAATTGAGCAAGTTATTTTGACGTTGTTTTCTAATGCAGTACTTCAAAATGTGCATCGTTGTTGCCTGATGTTCAAAATGGTGTATTAAGTATTCTTTCACTGGATCTGAATTTAAATGCAGGTCAACTGTCAGAATTTATTTATAGGTTATGATTTTCCTTTAGCTTCACAATTATTCTCTACATTTTTCTTGGTCGGTGATGTAAAATTCAAATAAAGTAAATTGTAATTCGTGGTTGTTGTGTGATAAAATGTCAGTAGCTCTCTGTAAACTTCTTATGTTTTTATATTCACCCATTCGTAACCAGCTGCAAATTCTGATCACTGATTGGTTCATGTGTTAAACAACATGAACTAATGCCCTTTAAAGGTACAGAGAAAATTACAGCTGTGAGTTAATCTGTCGAAACCGCAAGATGGAAAAAAGCAAGCATGAGCTATGCATAAACAAAGTCAGGAAGTGGTGGAGACAACGCTGCGAAGTTTCAATACTGCATATGTGGATTGTCCTAGTCAAATCAAAGGAAGAAGGTAGATACCTGCTGGTGAGTTCTCAATTATTTCAGCTCTGTAGCTGGTTCTCGTGAACACGGGCCTGTTGTCATTCTCATCCAGAATGGTGATAACCAAAAAGTCAGAGTCCTGGTTTTATTGAAACAAAAGATGAAAGAGTGAGAGAACATTAAAAGTCTGCCTGAGCTGAGCTGTTATTTCTGCATTTCCCTCATCTAACTCCCCCAGAGCCCAACCAGTTCCATGCAAGATGGTCTTCTTGGCTATATGATCACATGTGTCCCAGATGTGAGTTACATTAGATCAGCTGCAACCCAGCGAGGTGCTTCAGAGAAAATGAAGTAAACATCATTTAAGCCCTTTAAAAATCAACCTTGTGCAGCCCTGCAACTTGACAGGAGAACCTGCAGAACCGTGCTGCAGACTTGGTGGTTAACTTGATGCATACCTTTGCAAGCTCAGTTTCGCACCTTTCTCTACACGGCCTTTTTATAGGGTACCTGCACGTTGGCTTCCGTTTAGAAAACACCAAAGACGCTCCTGTAATAACTGCTTGCAAAGATTGTTCACACTGGTTTCATTCTGCTTGAATATGTTTATTTTAATTTAATGAGATGGGTTTCTGGTAAGAGATTATTACATCATTATTGCAGATGTTTTTAATTATCTTTGTAAAGCAGAAAACATGGAAGCACCATGGGAAGAGTGCTGGTTGTTTACAGGTAAAGGACGAAAAAAGACGTTTTGAAAATGACACATTTTCATACGACATGTAGATTAAAATGTATGAAACTGCTTAGCATGCTTAAAAGACTGAAAATTGCTGAGACATTAAGACTGTGGAAAGGGGGATTACCCTGCGAGCGATGCGGGGGTTCTCTGGATTGTCCTTCACAGTGATGGTTAGCGTGTACTCCGCCACTAACTCTCTATCCAGCGGTCTGTTCACCTGCACAACACCTGACTATGTGGGACAGAGATGAATCAGAGCTGCAGGCATGAAGGACATATCACTACATAAATCAGGATGCGTCATACATAAGAAAACCACAGAGCAGACAGTTCAGGATGCGAGCTGAAGTTTTGAAGAGCAACATGTTTAATGTGGTAGAGTGTAACTGTGATGTGGAAGAAAAAGGAGACATGGCTTCAAAACTAATGACACTAATAAAAATCTGAGAAGTGTGGCCTGTGTTTGTCTTCAGCTCTCTGATTTAAAACGTTATAAAGTCACTTTTAGGTGCAATTACAGCCACAAATCTTTACGGGTGTGTTCATTCAAGAGGCCTAGACAAATTCAGACCTAAATCTAATTCACAATCTGTGGCAAGATTTGAAAACGTTCCCTGACGACTGAGCAGTCCACAGCAGATAGACAGGTAAGACTACAAGCTGTAAAGTAGAGAAAGGTGGTTCTTTGACTGGAGGGAGCTGGATGCACCCCACACCTTTCAGATTTTTACTGATGAAATGAAAACCTATGCTGTTTGTCCTTCCACTTCAAAATGATGTTAATCTGTGTTGGTCCATCACTTTAATCTGTATAAAATATTTTGAAGTCTGTGCTTGTAATGTGACAAAACATGAAAAAGCTCAAGATGTATGAACACTGCTGCAAGACGCTGGAAATGTTTAGATGTGGACGAAGAAACAGACTCATTTCTGCAAACAGCTGCGAGGCCATGTTGATCTGACTCTAACTCTAACGATGTTTATGGACTATTATGGGAATTTTTCTTGCGGTTCTGTAACAAACTTGCAGTCAGTGATATGTGGAAGTTTCCATGTTTATGTAAGAACAGTTGAAATAGTTTCAGCTGGAACTTTCTGTTCTCTTTAGCTGATTACAGAAGGAGAGAGAGAATTAGGAAACATCTGTGCACATCCTTCTAATACGAGCTGCTCTCACCGACATGCTGCACGTTTTTAAGACCAACATGAAGGTGTGGCCCTCCTGAATCAGGGCAGAAGAACGGACAAATGTGTCTGGCTTCAGAGTTTTTGGTTTCCGTTACCGTGTCGTTGATGTAGAAGGCTCCGCCCGGGTTTCCAGCAGTGATGTTGTAAGTTAGAAGTGCGTTGCGTCCGCTATCTGCGTCCCCAGCTCGAACTCTGGCCACGGAGGTGTGTATCGCCGCACCTTCACTCACACTGGTGTTGTAGGGCAAATTAAGGATGACGGGGTCGTTATCGTTGATGTCCAGAACGTAGACGCCCACCACCACCTGACCACCAGAAGCAGCACTGTTCAGGGAATCTCAAATGTTCATAGAAAATATTGTTTCACAAAGATTATTAAGTAATACTTAGCTATAAATTCAGTTTCTCCTCTCCATTCATGTTTTGACATGACTGTTTGTTCACTGCCTTGCAATCATTCTCTGAATCTCTCTGATTGTGAGAACATTTTTAGTCCACATCCTCTGATGGCTCCATAGATTTTCTGTCACTCTCTCTGTCATTCATGCATCATTTTGGATGCATGATTGAAAAATAAAATCTTCCCTTGTCTTTAGCCTTCAGGCACCTAAGTGTTACTGATGTAGTATTTGGTACTTATAGCTTCTTATGAACAGCTCAGCGCTATAAGTACCTCTGAGCTGTTCATAACCTTCACAAAATCCAAAACTTTAAACACAAAGAACAGATAATGATGCAGCCACCACCGTGCTTTACTGCGTGTACGTTATTCTTTTAGTTTCACCATAACTCAACCTTCCAGTTTCTTGTAAAACTTAATTGCTCAATTCAAAATAAAAAGAATACAGGAGACTGTCGTCACACACAGAACAGAACCACTTGTTACAAATTGTGCAGTTTTTGTCATCTTTTCTGAGTTGCAGCAGCTTAAAGAGAGATCTTTCTGATTCTTTGAAACTCCTCCGCCAACCACAGCGTTGGCTAAAAGATGGAATGAGGAGAAGTCGAGAAAAGCCAACAAGAAAAGCCGAGCCTTCACTGTAGCTGATGACAGGGTGACCTCACACTGACCCAGTGCTTTAACTGAGCCATCAAAGTTTTAATTTTATAGTGTGTGCACTTCTGCAAAGAGGCTATTGCATTTTTTTCATTTTATATTTCCCCCTACTATATATATTGTTTTTCAGTTGAATTTTAAAAAGTGTATATTATTGAACATAAAAACAGTTTTGAAATTGTCTATAGTTGTTCTGCCTCACAAAACCTGCTGTTCTGAATTTTTCATCCACAATGTTTGAAACTCGTGTCTCATCTCCTACTTTTCTAGCCTGGAAACAGTAAAAATACAGAGGAATGTATTCCTACAGCAGTTATCTGAAAATAAAGGATATAGGAAGTATTTTGTGGACATTGTGCTGTTAGAATTATGCAAAGAGATATTATAATACAGAAGTGACGCTTATAAGTTCCCATTTATGGAAGAGGATATGATGACAAAGTAGCGTCTGCTTGCAGCTTGACGGCTGCTGACGTAAAGTGGCTCACCGAACTGTTGCGTGACGGGGTTCCCAGGTCCCGCGCCATCACGGTGATGTTGTAGAAAGCTGTGGTCTCTCTGTCCAGCTCCACATCCCTCCTCACCCGAAGCTCGCCCTCCACAGGAGAGATCATGAACTCATCTGAGAACGAAGCAGAGAAAACCTTAGAGGGGAACGCAAACGGTTTTAGATGCTCAGAGAAAACAGACGGAGGGACACTGACTCTGGTTATCTCCACCAGTGATGCTGTACTCTACTTTGCCGTTGAGACCAGAGTCTTCATCGCTTGCTTTGAGGGTCCACACCCGCGGGCCCGGCTGGCCCTCCGTTACCTCAAAGGGACCCTCGTACTGTCTGGGGAAGGTTGGCGTCACGTCGTTCACGTCCAAGACGTTTACCGACACCTGGAAGCAGGAAGGAGACGGTTTTTTATTCAAACCCCCACAAAGCTGGAGCTGGTGATGGGAATCTGGATTATCTCTGTAAAGATGATAAAAAATGATCATTACTGTTGTGCTAGATGTCAGGCGGAGAGCAGGTTTCGGACACTGGTCAGTAGCCGTGATAACCAATGCATAATGCCCGTTGCTGATCTCATAGTCCAGCTCCTTCACAGCAGTTATTCTCCCCTGAACACACACACACACACACACACACACACACACACACACACACACACACACACACACACACACACACACACACACAGAGTTATTTGTTTGTTTTCTTGTCTTTATTCCTCCTGTGACGGTGTAGACGGCTCACCGTGATGCTGTTGATGTTGAACGTTTGGATCAGGTTGCCCCGGACGATTGCATACCGCAAGGTCCCATTCAGACCTTCATCTGGGTCAATGGCTGTTACCGTGGCAATGGTGGCCCCCACGGTGTCGGGTCCCTCGCTCAGCACGGTGACGTACTCCTCCTCTGGAAACTCTGGGGCGTTGTCGTTCTCGTCCACGATTCGAATGTAGACGGTGGTAGAAGTCTGGAACGAAGACGGCAAAATTCATCAAGGTACAAAACACAAAAATCAATTTGATATCCATGATTTCCTCCCAAAGCAATTAATTTAAATAAATACAGAGTCAGTTGATTGTAAAGGGTAAACACCGTTAAAGCATCAATAACTCCATCAACTTTTATCTAGAGAGGAAGAAACAAAGCTAAACACAAACGCACACATGCAGGAGTCATTATTACTGAAAAAAAGAAAAAAATAACAAGTGTAGACAAAGTTATTAGAAGTAGATAAAAATAGTTCTGGGTCAGAAGATCTTTCTACAGCAGAAATGACAACAAACACACAATTAAAGCTCTGTTATAATACCATAATAATAATTTGATGATGTTGTCATGTCATTTTCATATAATTTTATTATTTTCAGAAAGTGCTTGTCTCAAAATAAATCAGGAAATGAAAGTATGAATCGATTTCTAAATGAAGCCCTTCAGTAAGAACTGAAAGCTTAATTGAGTAAATGAGGCGTGACTTCAATATGTATTGGAGAAAAAATAATTTTGAAATGTTTGTGGGAAAAAAGTTTGTTGAGTAAAGAAAAAAACATTTTAATTTAGTGAAGGATTTTAAAGTAGGAAAATGTAAAGTGACATGAAAGTGAAAGAAAAGCCTCAGTAACTTTCTGTTCAACCAGTCTGACGTGTTTATCCCACAGCCAAGGTGGGAACAAGGAAGTTAGTCTTTGCATTTAACGGAAAACAAAACACAGATTATGTAATTAACAATTTTCAGACAAATTTTTATGGAAATCAACTCAGACAGAGTAGGTAGAAATATTATTGAGGTGTATAGTGAGAAACTATACACAACAATATTCCACTTCTGAAATGGAAAAAACAATTTTGCATTTTTCCACCATGTGAGCGATGGACAACATTTTGGAGGAGACGGTTCTGTTGGTGAGTTAATCTGTCCAAACACACAGGTGGTTTTAAGAACTTTGGGACCTTAAAATCAGGCTTTGAAACTGAATTTAATGATATTTCATTTACAGTACATCAAAGCGGAGTTAAGAAATATCACAGTATGTTAAGACCACAGAACATGTGCTTTGAGTAAATGATGTGAGGAAAACCAACACACAAGAGCCAATAAGCCGCCTCTGCTCCTTTATGAGTTTGTTCCTCAGTCTTAAAAAACAATGTTTGTGTTTTATGTGTAAATCTTTGTTTCTAAGATGTTATTTCATCAGGAAATGGTGGCTGTAGCACGTTTCACCGTTTAGCAATCCATAGTTTTGAAATTGTGGTTGTTTTGTACCCAACAGTGTCTGCTATGTGTCATTTCATACCTCTGATAGTTACTATAATATATGACCAGATCATAAAAACGTTCTCAATACCAAGCAGACTTGGAATAAGGAACATTTTACTTTTTCAAAGCTTGTTCAAACTGCATGCAGAAATGTTTTATCCTAATCATATTTTCTACACAATGACAGATGTTCCCCTGGTGCTAACTGAGCTGCTTTTATTAGCATTCAGGGTAAATATTAAAGTAATAAAAGTGAAGCGATTATTTTTGGTACCAAGATAACTCAAAACATGACTTGTTAAAACACATTGACTTTTGCTTTTTTATTGTAAAGGTTGAATGCTTAAAATAGTCAAGTATAAATGAAGTAGTTAAACGGTGAAAAGTGTTTGTAGAAAAGTGGAGGAAATCAAGAGTGTTAATGTCTACAGCATTCATAATAATAACTGTGTTAATACCTATAGCATTCATAATAATAATTGTGTTAATGCCTACAGCATTCATAATAATAATTTGTTAGTATTTTGTAAACAAAATACATCATAGCATCTTATTCATTAAAAAGTATGTGAAAGGTTTGAAGAGAAAGAAAACATTGGAAGAATAGTTTTTTGTTTGCATGTTTGGTTTACTATGCGAGGCGGCCATGTTGGACTTTTAGGACCCTCTGTGTTTACCACGTGGAGTTCTGACTTCAGAAGACTGATCTGTTGAATTCATTCTTAAACATTTCAGCTTCTAGGTAGTGACTGAAAGGAACATTCTTTTGTTGTTTATATGACAAAACAAACATAAATTATTATTTTTATGGGTATCAGAGTAAAGGGGACTGAAGAGTTGGAGATAATTTATTTACCAACATACATTGAATCATGAGGTTAAAGTGCTAAGGTTGAATAAGGTATGAATCTTAATCATTTTAGATGATTTTTAAAGTATGTTTAGCATGTGTAGATGTTTTATCTTTACTTTTTTTCTCGATGTTGTGCTGGCCTGAACCTCAGGGGGCGGAGCTCAGAGCCAGAGAAGGGGCGTGGCTTAAAAACCGCACTAGAGGCGGCTCCTGCTTGCTCGACTCTTCATTTTACTACGAGTGAACAGACGGAGAGTAAAGAGGTCCAACAGCTGAGCACATTCTGCACTTCTGCTTCGTTTTGTTTTTAAAGTCCTGCCGGCCATGGAGAGGCGACGGACATCCGTCTGGAGGACAAAGCCCACATTCTGGGTGTGTTTTCTGTTTGCTGTTGCTGAAGGTAAGCGCGTAAATCCCTCTGACATCTGAAACTTAATACTTTCTAAACACCCCGCGGGTGTGAGGACTTGTTGTCACTTTTAAGCTGTGAGGATTTATGACTTTTTTCATTATTTGATTGTAGAAACTTAACAGAAGTTTTAATGTGTTTAGTAGTAACTCTACCCAGATGGAGTTATAATGCTGTGACAGCTCCAGCCTGGTGTAATTTAACCACCTCCTCTCCTCTGAAGCTTTTTTCTTTTTTTTTTTTTCACAAACAGCTGCGCAGCATCACAGTTTGCGCTGGAGTGCTTATGTAAAAAACTCTGAGGTGAAAACATTTTCCACATTTCTCGGGTTGCTGCTGTTGTTTTGAGACGGAACATCTGGCGTGGAGCGGCTTTAAATGCCCCTCCCTGTGGGGAACCAGCCGAAACACATGCAGCACTTTGGGGCGACATTTGTTTCTTTTTTTCTGTCTTTTTTATATCTACATGTCTAGAAATAAAGGGAAAAGAGAAAGGCATTGCGGCACGCTGGCCCTTAATGAGCAGCGGTTTTCTGCATGTTTGGCCTTGTGCTGGAGGAGCGGAGCAGCTGGTGCCTCAGCAGGCGCTCTTATCGCTCCCAGGCTCCACGGATAAGTCTATTTAGATATGTAAACTCAAAGGAGACGATTCCTTAAAACACCTTAAATATGAATAAAATGATCTAAAAGTACCAAAGAGTTGCTAAACTCACACACTGGGACACATTTAGGGTTCAGAGGTGAATGGGTGATGTTGACCGACTTTAATGCCTCATCATTAACAATAATTTAATCCCTTTAAAGGTCATTTCACTCCTGTAAACAAACAATTTCCCTCTGCCAGTGTGTGCTAGTTTGTTCTTTAATAGAAGTAATAAAGTGCTCAACATTTTGTTTTTGTTTTTTAATTTAATTACCTTTTTTAAACCATATTTCCATTTATCACCCTGCCAGTATTTCCCTATGGGACTCCTGGGTTAAATGGATTCCTATGTGTGCAGAACGGTTCCTTGTTAATGTTTGAAAAGTAGAATTCACATACATTCTAGACTTGCTGCTCAATTTAAATTTATTTTCTTACTACCAGTTTACGACCCAAATAAGAGCTAAACAGAAACGAATTTGTCTTAGGATAAAGGATGAAATGTAGATACTGTGCTAATGAATCTAATCAAATAAATGAATAACAAATAGATGACATAGTGTCACTATGGATCTTGGTAATTGAAATTGGAAGTGTGACGTATGTTGGAGTAGGCGGGTCGTGTTCAGATTTCCCATGAGTTCTGTCCTACTTTTTTTTTTTTTGCGAAAAATAAAAATCTCCTGACCTTGTGGAAACCAACAGTTTCTCATAAAAGCATTTATTCTGACATAAGAAAGGAAGTAGTTTCTGACTCGCCCAGTTGTGTTGACAAAGTTGGCTAATAGACTTCTCAATAGGTTGGCAAACCTCTAAAAAACTTTAGATACTTCTAAATCTTAGCAGCGTTAAACTTAAGGATTTGTGACCACAGAGATTATCCAATTATTGGTGCTCAAAACAGGAAAGTTGGAATTTGATTCAAACCTTAACTGGAGAATCCTGCAGATATTGTTTAAAATACTGTTTTGAGTCATGAAACGTTACATTTGTGGAATAAATGTAACATTCTTTATTTGGCATTAGAAGATTAGATCTGATTTATTTCTTTCAAACAAAGTTTCTCTGCTTATGAAAAGTATAAATGGGAGTTCTTAGTTTGTCAGAACACTAAATATAAAATCTCATTTTGGTCAAATATTGCGCATCATCCCATCTGGTGAGTTGCACCTTAAACCCCTGGTACCAGAATATCAGTAACTTTTAATGTGCCTCTTTAAAAGTCTTTTGTATTGTAAGGACTCAAAACATTAACCCAGTTTGTCTACATCCTCATAAATCCATTCCTGCCCATATCCCTCCTCTTTAACCTTGGGAGTTCAGTCAGGTAGAGGTGATATCCCAAATGTAGCCTCAAAATTGAGATTTTCAGCAATTATAGAAACAACTGGGACATGGTACATCCAGGGTAACATGTTGTTGAAGTCTAAAACTGGGAGTCAGCCTCCCAGTTCAGGTTTAAACCTGAAAAATGCCTTTGCAGTTTTTTCTAAAAAGCGACTGAGAGGCTCCATTAAGACATAACAAGACCGATTGGAAATGCCCTCACCCCGTTTCTGTGATCTCCTCATTGTTGGGGAGTTTCCTTCATTTTAAGGCTGTGATGAAAACAGTCGTTGTGCCTCTGCCAGTAATGGATTTCCACTCTGCAAGACCTGAGTGAAAGCCAGCTGCAATCAGAGGCTCTTTTCCTCCCAGATAAGCATTTAGCTTCTTGTTGCGGACAATGGCAGAGAAAAAAGGAGTCGATGAAGAACATACAATGTACGGAGGTCCAAAAGGGCCACAATGTGAGAAGTAAACAGAGTAAATCATTACATGGTAACTGAAGTGTGTAAATAGTTAATTTAAGTAGTCTATTAATAGTAATTGTCATTTGTAAGATTTTATCAATAAAAAGCACAAAAATATAAATATTTTAATCCTTTGGATCACTAATGTTGTTCTAGTTAAGATAATTGGTCTGAAGGAGACTAACTGTGCAGGTTAACCAATCAGAAGCCAGACTCTATATAAAGTCCTACAGTGGCTGTTTGAAATATGTAACACAACAAAATAATTTAAGTTTATTTATTTAAATTGGTTCATTTCCAGTTTAATTTAGAAATGAGTAATATTAATGATAATTTTTGATCATTTTTACATTTTGGTTCTTTCAAAATGATCAAACTTCTTTTTCTCACAGGTTGTCTAAAATAATTGACTACAACCTGAAAAATGCTTAATAGTAAGAGGTAAAAGTTTGACCTAATAAAATTTAATTATTTTCAACTATATTTTAATTCTGACAAATATATTGAGGAAAGGATTTTGTAAACTGTGTTTGACACTCAAAATGAATGGGACCAATTTTCCTCCCAGTTTCTGAGACTCTTATTTTGTAAGTAATTGGTTGTAAATATTAAATTATTAAGACTTTCATAAATTATTCATAACATCTATTTATTTTTAGTTTAGTTCATAGTGACACTTTCAGCACTCCATATCTTATGAAACCACTCTAAGGTTCTTTATCGCTTTGCTTCCTGTCCTGCTGCGGTTGGTGTTGTGCTCACATCGATTCTGAGCTAAATGAGTGCATCTTTATTAGGGAGCAGGTTTCCGTAATCAATCTCATTGACGATAACGTGCCTGTGCTGAGGGACGGAGGGAGGAAGCTGGTGAATGATTGTGCAACAGTTGTGTGGGCATATCCTGCATGTGCTGCATTAGTAATAACAGGAGAGTGGAGGCGGGGGCACTTCTATTGTTTTGGGAGTTTTTCTGCTGCAATCATCTTTAAAGGTCTGTATATTTGTTACGTTTAGCATGCAGCGATTTATGTCTAAATGTTACCAGCAGTGACCTCCACGCTGCTGGGAACACTTTGTCCCCCATGTGGGTGATTTTTCTCAGCAGCCCAGGGTCGCGGCATTAACCACAACGCTAGAGCCTTGACTGTTCAAGAACAACACGAAAAAAAACTATCTTTGGTGATCCTTGGTGAGATTTCATAGTGATAACCAAAGACACACAAAAACATGATCTAATTTCTTCAGTTTTTAAAAAACAACTGTTATTCCTACTTCTTCTAAATCATAAAACACAACAATTATTACAGCTGTAGCGTCGTTAACATTTAACCTCAATTAATTTCAATACACTTTATTTATTTACCATCAGTTCACAACAAATGTCATCACAAGTAGCTGACAATATCCATTTATAATATATAATTTAATCCATATAAATTCCAATTAGGGTGTAGTTATTCTGTATTGCATTTAAATTAAATTCATAATTCCTCCTGATAAAATCCATTCAGTCTCTCCTGTTAGCGCCAGTAGAGCACAACATGTTTTAGCCAGTAGAAAACCACAGATTCATATCTTTGTTGTTTTGATACATAGAATAAACAAAAAACATCACTAGTAATATTAGTGTAGATTCAATTTTTCATTGTAGATTTCTGCCATTTAAAAGCTGCTGATTTTAGTTGCTGAGGTGTTATTACTCGTCAGAATAAAGCCAGCTGATTGGCTTTATTCTGACGAGAATAAAGCCAATCAGCTTTATTCTGATTTCTGCAGTTGTGGCATCATGATTATCCATATTTTGCAGGACTGGAAATCTTTTCACTCAAAGCAGTTTGCTTTGTTTGTATGAGTGGGACAGCTCCACAGGAAGTGACCGGTGGTTTTGGATTGGCTGTTTTAGAGACGCCAGCCAACAGAGTGTCAAGTAGATTAATGCCGAGGTATTTCGGCTTCCTTTTTAATATTTTAGACAAAATCTGCAAATATGTACATTTCCCCAAAATAATTTGGAGCTATATTAAAAGGAAAAATCTATAAACAGGTGAATCTGCAAATACTGAACCACAAATAGATACGAGTCTAATGCATGATTTGAGGGAAAGCACCAAAAAATCACCTAACCTGTCATGGTTTTCAGATTGCTTCACTGAAGATGGAAAATAAGTAACTTTAGGTAGAGGTGGAGCTTTTCTGAACATGATGACCTGCTGACTTCCTGCTGTGACTAAGATTCAAACACTTCCTGTTGCTGATCCCCTTTTTACTCCTTCTGCTCTTTGTTCACGGAGCCGACACTCCTTCTGGTTTTTCCAACATCTTATGACGGGAAAGATCTGGGAATTAATGCAATATGGTTGCGTTGGAGTAATTTGGAACATTTTGGAGAGATGAACTCCTTAGATGAGTCAGATATCAAACGCTTCAACTCAGAGTGAGAAAGCCGTCAGTGGCAACAGGTGTCAACCAAACAAAGAGGGCCTGTTCCTGCGACCCCCCGGGGATCACAGGAGCAGAAATCTAGATACGAGAGAGCCAACAACAAATCTGTCAGA